GTTGGACAGGTAAAGACGCAGGGTGGCCACGCCGACGATGAGCAGCAGCGCGCCCGCCAGCGCAATGGCCACCGCCGCCATGCGCATGTGCGCGCGGCGGATCACGTTGCGCAGGGAGGCGCTGCCGGACAGGAACAACTTCATGGCAACGTCCTGTGGCGCGCAAGCTGCAGCACCTTGGGATTGACGCGCAGGCCGCTGCGTGCCACGGAGTCGAGGCTGACCTCGAAGCCCGCGCCCTCGCCACGGCGGCGCAGGCAGAACATGGCGCCGATGCGGCACAGCTCGCCCCGCTCGCTGATGGTCAGCAGCGGCCGTCCGGCCAGTTGCTCCATGAGCTTGCGCCAGGCCGCTTCATCGAGCTGGCCGGCATAGATGCCTTCGCATTCGGCCAGGATGCGCGCATCGGAAAGCACGACGCGCCGGACTTCCAGCCGCTGGCTGCCCACGGTCTGCGGGGCACCATTGAGCAGGTCATCGGCATATTCGGTGGAGCCCACCACGCACAGCCGCAGCACCGCGCTTTCCGTGGGCCAGCGCGTGTAGCCCAGGATGCCTAAGACCGTGCGTGTCACGCCCAGCTCATGCTCGTCGGCCGATGGTTCGGCATGCGCCTGCCCCACCAGCCCCACCCAACCCGTTTGCAGCGCCAGCAGGCACACGGCCACCCAGGCCCAGGCGGGCGGCAGGCCCTTGATCCTGCAACCCATGCACCACCTGCGGGATGGGAGAAGTGAGCGCTGCGAGCGCTGTGAGCGATTTATGCGAACAGCCAACCAAGGCTCCTTGAACGGGAAATCCATGCATTGCACCACGACGGCGCATCGAAGCATTTTTTCACATATCGCCCGCCTCGGAGCACCCGGAGTGTCGCGCTGGGTCATCATCCTTTCTTAGTCGCTGCGGCACATCAAGGTGCCGTGGCAGGCAGGCGGTAGTGATAGGCGTAGAGCGGATGAAAGCCCAGGCTTTCATACAGCCCGCGCGCCACCCGGTTGGGAGCCCGCACCTGCAGCTCGGCCCATTGCGCCCCCTGCGTCCGTCCCCAGTGCAGCAGGCCGCACACCAGCGCACGGCCCAGCCCCCGCCCGCGCATTGCAGGTGCGATGACGATGTCATACAGGCCCACGCAGCCGCGCTCCAGCACGGCCAGGCCGAACCCGGCCACCTCGCCCCCGACGCGCAGCGTGGCAAAGGCGGCGGGCCAGGCAATGGACTGCAGCATGTGGTGATGCGCCTGCCTGTGCCGGGGCGGCACGGCGCCGGCCTCGGCAAAGCCTTGCAGCCAGGCCGCACCGGGCCGGGCATCCATGGCGAGGGTCCAGCCTTTTTCGCCCGCCGGCTGCGCCATGTCCGCCAAGGCTGCGCGCATCACGAGCGAAGGATCGGCCAGCAGGTAGCCGGCCTGCGCCAGTTGGGCATCGGCCTCGGGGCTGGCCAGGGGCGAGAGGCGGAAGACGGGCGGCAGGCCCTGGCGTTGGTAGAAGGCTTCGATCTGCGCCAGCAAGGCGCCAAGGCGGGCGCCGGGCTGATGGGCATTGGCCGAGTTGGCCCGCTTGGTATGGCCCTGCGCGGCGCGCAGCAGCCAGTCTCCGCAGAGCACGGTGCGCTGGGCCGGCCAGGCGTTGAAGCCGCGCTGCTCCACGCCGACCACCGTCTCGGGATCGCAGTCCACGGATGCGCGGTCATGAGCGAAAGACTTGGACATGCCCGCTTGTACCATGGCCGCCCGCCGTGCCCGCCCATAATATGGCGCGCCGCCGCGCTGGCGGCAGGCACACTTTTTCCACTACTGCGATCGCCCCCGCTCGCCGGATTGCTCCATGACCACAGACACCTCCCAAGCTCCCCGACTCACCTCGCTGTCCCATGGCGGCGGCTGCGGCTGCAAGATCGCGCCGGGCCTGCTGGCGGAGCTGATCGGCAAGAGCGCGCTGCCAAGCAGTTCTTCCCGGACCTGCTGGTGGGCACGGAGACCGCTGACGACGCCGCCGTCTACCGCATCAACGACGAGCAGGCCATCGTGGCGACCACGGATTTCTTCATGCCCATCGTGGACGATCCGTATGACTTCGGCCGCATCGCCGCAACGAATGCGCTGTCCGACATCTACGCCATGGGCGGCCAGCCGCTGATGGCCCTGGCCATCGTGGGCATGCCCATCAATGTGCTGCCGCACGACACCATTGCCAAGATCCTGGAAGGCGGCGAATCGGTCTGCCGCGATGCCGGCATTCCGCTGGCCGGCGGCCACTCCATCGACTCGGTCGAGCCCATCTACGGCCTGGTGGGCATCGGCATCGTCAACCCGCGCCAGATGAAACGCAACGCCGACGCCAAGGCCGGCGATGTGCTGATCCTGGGCAAGCCGCTGGGCGTGGGCATTCTGTCGGCCGCGCTCAAGAAGAACCTGCTGGACGAAGCCGGCTACCGCGCCATGGTGGAGGCAACCACCTTGCTCAACCGCCCGGCACGGCGCTGGGCAAGATGGACGGCGTGCACGCGCTGACCGATGTGACGGGCTTCGGCCTGCTGGGCCATGGCCTGGAGCTGGCACGCGGCGCGGGCCTGACGGCGCGCATCGACAGCCGCAGCCTGCCCGTGCTGCCCACGGTGCAGGGCTTTGCCGAGCAGGGCGTCATCACGGGCGCCTCGGGCCGCAACTGGGCCTCGTATGGCACGCAGGTGGTGCTGGGCGCCGGCATCACCGATGCCCAGCGCGCGCTGCTGACCGATCCGCAGACCTCGGGCGGCCTGCTCGTATCGTGCACGCCCGATGTGGCGGACCAGGTGCTTGCGCTGTTTGCCGAACAGGGCTTTGGCGATGCAGCCATCGTCGGCCGCATGGAAGCGGGCCAGGCCCGCGTCGTGGTGGATTGAGCCAGGCAACCAGTCAAGCGGAACGGGGGCCTGGGCCCCCGTTTGCATTGCATGCCGGATGCAGCCCCTTCAGGCGGGCACTGCATCACGCCGGACAGCGGATGTCACTCGCTCACGGTCTGCGTCTTGTAGGCCGGGCTGGCCTGGATGGCGCTGTCGGTGAACGGCAGCTTGAGCCACTGGCGCGCACCGTAGGCCTTGGTGTAGTCCGCATAGTGGGCCGAGGCAGGATCGTCCGACAGCGAGAAGGTCAGGAAGGTATGGGCCTCCACTCCGGCCGCCGGGAAGCTCACCACCTGCATGTAGCTGTTGCCGTGCGGCTGCCCGTCCATGCTGTAGCCGCCCTGCTCTATCTTGTTTTCCGAGCAGGTGATGGTGAAGTAGCCCACCTCGCCGCATCCGCCATACAGCGCCGTCTTCTCTCCGCCACGCTGCGAGAACAGCACGGTGCCACGCGCCGCATCCATGGCAAAGCCGCTGGCCTGCACGGCCTTCACTGCTTCGGCGAACGCCTTTTGCAGCGCCGCCTTGGCCGTGGGCTTGATGCCGCGCGGCGTGTTGACGGGGTCGGACGCATCGAAGGGCACGGCATACAGGTCGGCCGATTTGATCTGGCTGGCCACGCGCTTCCAGAACTCGTCCCAGACATGGGAGCCCCTGGATGCCGCCGTGCCCGTGCCGTCCCAGGCCTGCAGCGCCGTGCAGGCAGCCGATACGTCCACCGTTTCACCCGCCGAGGACACGGGGCCTGGACAGACCTGGGCCAATGCATCGTCCTTGAAACGCGCGCTGTACACACGGCTGTCCAGCACCATCTGGCGAACGATGTCGCTGGTGGCCATCTTGCCCGGATAGCCGTCCGTGCCCGCCAGCCGCTGCAGCGCCATGGTGTGGCCCAGGCGCGTGCGCAGGCTCTGGGCAGAAGAGGTGGAGCCGAAGATGGCCGGATAGCCGGTCAGCGGTGCCGAGGCATTGGACAGCCAGTAGCTGTCGTTCATGTTGCCCACGTAGTCGCCACGCAGCAGCTGGGCATGCGTGCGGGCCGATGGCGCCGGCCTGCACCGAATCCGCATCCGAGCCCCAGTCGCACTGGCTGCTGCCGCCGGCCAGCACCGGCACCTGGGGCAGCGCCGCGTTGATGGCTGCCGAGGCCGGCGTGGCGCAGGCCTGCAGCTGCGCGGGCGGCACGTTGGGCACGGCGCCTATGTCGGCATACCAGACCTGGGCGTTGCCGCGTCCCGCAGCGACGGTGTTGACCCAGGGAATGGCCGACTCCTCCTTCTGGATGCGGATGAACTCGTCCAGCGACTTGGCCTGGTTCCAGCGCAGCCAGTTGCGGAAAGTGCGGTAGTTGTAGGCGTTGATGTCGCGGATGGCGAACACGCTCTGCGTGGTCCAGCCCAGCGCCGGGT